CTCCATCTTAGATGTGTTACGAACTCTGTGCGATGTTTCCTCAGAGAAAGTTTTATTAATGTTTACCGTCTTGATTGGTTTGGAATGGATACAAATGACTTCGCAGTTGTTACAGCCCATTCGCCGACTGATCGTTCGAATCCAATAATAAAGTCAGTTCCAAGAAAACAAAACAATGCAGATGTCTTCGGCAGATGTCACTTTAATTACTTAATTAAATTGCTTTTACGCGAAATAAATATCAGCTTAGAACAAACACCCTACATTTGTTCTTCATTCTATACAATTACTGAAAGTCCAGTTGAAATAGATTTTCAACAACGTTTTTTCTAAACCTAATGTAGTTTGAAAGTAATCATTAATTATCTGTGCTTTTGATTTAATTAATCATATGTTCCTGTGTTCCTTTTCAATCCTTCGAAGCAGTCAATAAAAACTGCGAAAACTGAATGATTTTACGTACTACCTTGCCGTCAAATGACAATAGTGGTATCGACTTCTTTCGCCGACAAATGCATAATTAAAAGGTACAACCTAACGACTTATTGTTGATGTTTTTTGCACCTATTAAAACTTGGTTGGTTTATCGGTTACTTCTTGTCAATAGGTACTCGACAGACGTGAAAAAATATATCTAATATCTATAGGTCTCAATTAAACCATTTCTTTGTTGGTGTGTTAAAAGACAATAATTATTTTATCTTTGCAATGTTTTGATTGTCGAAGGACACATATTAATAATGATTGTTTTGCGGCATAACTTTCGAACGCTTAGGAAATTTTTCATTTTCAGTGACGGCATGTAACCTGATACTTTTTATGCAAATGATCAAGGCCAAGTCACAAAGAGGCCACAACTGTACGCATTACTTTCGAAAATTAATAGAACTTGCGTACACATATGCCTATGATTTATACAATAAAACTATCACGGTTTAATATTCGTGTCAAAAGTCAAACGGGTAATAATATTAATTGTTTTAATTATGATTAGGTAAATATTCTGATGATAATATTAAGTAATTTGGTAATTAATTGTTGACATTCTTCTTATCTTTTTCTATTTATTTAAAAATTAATAGTGACAACCACAAATTTATTTTCCTATTTACCATTTACCATTTAATAGTTTTTTTAAAAAAGTTTAATTTTTTTCATACTTTCAAATGCTTTCCTTCGAGTGACAGTGTTTTTTTTTCTGATGTTTTTAATTTCATCATATCTGTAAAGGAATTTCTAATTTACAAAATTCAAACCAATAGTCGGAGACAGTAGGTTACTTAAACTTAAAAATATCAAAAAAAAAATGTATTTTCAACTATCCAATTATAATCAAAACGCGAAAGTTATTAGAACCCCCATTTCAAGAGTAAAAACTTCTAGGAACGATCGGGTTTGTTTCTTGACTCACCGTTGAAGTCTCCAGTGTTACTCGTTACTTTAAAGTAGAAGTACGACTGTCAGGACGAAAAATTTTGAAATTTGAACTAAACATTGGTTTACATAAGTAATAACAAACATATTTTTCTAAAAATCTAAACTCTGTGGTCATTATTAAGAAAATAATAAGGGCGAGAAATCCAAAAGAACTGTAAAAAGAATTTTTTGCCATAAAATGCAATGATTTGAAAGGGTATCTAACGACGTACTCTTAAATTTATAAGTCAAATAAAGAGTTATTTAATTTTTTTACTTAATCTAAAAATACATCAACTAGAAAAGGAATCGTTAGTTTACAAAATTCAAAAGAAAAACTAGTCGAATGAAGTGGTTCTAAACTTCAAAAATTTCTAAAAATTGTATTCTTCAAGTATTATAATTGAAATAAAAGCGCAAGTGTTATCATAACCCCTGCTTCAGCAGTAAACAGTTATAAGAACGACCAGGTTTGTGTCTTGACCCACCGTTGAAGTCTCCAATGTTACTTGTTACTTTAAAGTAGATACGCGACTTCCAGGACGCAAAATTTTGAAATTTGAAATAAGTACAGGTTTATATAAGAAATGATAAATACATTTTTCTAAAAAACTGAACTCTGTGACCCTTAGTGAGATATAAATAAGGCCGAGAAGTCCAAAAGAACTTTTATGCTATAGGATTACAATGATTTGAAAGGCTACTTATCTACGTACTCTTAAATTTATAAGTCAAATAAATTTTTTTGTTTATTCTAAAAATACGCCAAGTAGAAAAGGAATTTTTAGTTTACAGTTCAAATCAAAAACTAATCGACTGAGAAAGAAGTTCTAAAACCAAAAAATTTTGAAAACCTGTATTCTTCAAGTATTATAAGTATTAAGTATAAAAAAAGCGCAAAAGTTGTTATAACCTCGCTTCAGGAGTAAAAACCTCTAGGAACAATCGGGTTTCTGTCTTGACCTACCGTTGAAGTCTTCAATGTTGGAGACACGATTTATGAGTGTAGATGTTTGAAGTTTGATTGACAATATGTGTCGAATGAATGATGCTATGTAGACAAAGAAAAACTTATAGTAAGGATTAGAAGATTCTGGCCAACCGTAAACAAGAAAGTATTCGGTATTATAATTAGGAAATCAATTACCTACTTGTCTTTAGAAATAAATACAAAAACATAGCAAGGTAATTTTGAAATGGTTATCGATTTAATTAAAACAATTTCAATATGGTAGACTTACACCATACATATTCATTGGACTGATTTAGACTTAGCTTCTTATGGGGTATCTGTGCTGTTAACATATTTAAATATAAAATCGGCACACGATGTTTTCTAAACATTGTTACTAAATAAGTATCTGAATTGGTTAATTCTCAAGGAAATAACTTCGCAAGAAATTTTGATTTCACTTCCAGTTTTACAGAGCATTACAAACCAACAAGGAAATAAATTCGTTTCGGTATTAAGTGACGCTAAGTCTTGCACTAACGCAAAGATTGCGAAGCGAAACGCTGAACGCTTGTGGTGTGCAAATGAATCTGCCGCAGTAATTCTTACCACATGTGAATGCTAAATGTGCCATGTATGTAATCGCCCATTAATTATTATTACTTACTTATCGGTTGTTTAGGAAGTGAGTTTGTTCGACAGAATAAAGCACCGCGAGGAGGTTTCGCTTCTAACCGATCGTTGAAGTCTCCGCATTGTGTAAAGGTCGCGACCCCGGCACCACGATTTATTACGATAATCAATGAATTAATGTCGTGATAAAACTGTGTGTACGTATGACCATACGTTTTCTATGAGTATTTGATACACGTAAATTCATAACGACTTCCGGCATTCAATTCATTAATGTGTTGTTGTAAGGTGTTTCACTATAATATAAAATCGTTAAAGCTTTGCAAAAACTTTCTTGGAAAATTCAACGTATATCAAGTAGGAAGGAAAAGCTGGCTGAAAATACTATCGCTAATGCGAAGCAATTAGATTCCAACCACTAAACCTTAAATTTATGTAAAATAATTTCAATAGATTTCTAGAGAATTTTTGAAATTACTATATTTGTATTGAAAGAGACCCCGATAATTTTTTAACGATTAATATTTACTGATCTTCATTGATTACCCCCAAATTCCATTTTATTTCGAGTTGCTAGGTATAAAATTCATTGGGATTTGACCAATAATTTTGTTTTCTAAAGACACTTTGAATCAATAAAACAGCAAATCATTTATCTTTTGGAGATGAACTATTGTGTGAAAGTGAAGATCGACTTCATATTTGTTATTTTTATATTAATTTATAAACCAGATCAAACAGCTGATGCACAAATATTGTTGTTCTACAGTTATTAATAGCCTATTTTGCATACAAGAAACGAAAACAAAAATATCGAGATTCCTTTGTAAACAAGTTTAAAATCGGTGTATTCAATTTTGTTTTGATAACTTTTATAAATATGACCTCTAATAGAGCGTAGGACTGAAGCACAATAAACAATTTTTCTACTTTTAACACTAATTATTGACGCTCCCCATGTAAATATTTTATAGACTCAAAAATAGGAATCCTTAGTTTACAAAATTCAACACCAAAACTAGTCGACCTAAGAAGGTTATCAAAACTTAATAATATCAAAAAACTGTATTTTTTTACTATGCAACTACAATCGAAAAGAAAAGTTATTAGAACCCTTGTTTCAAAAGTAAAAACTTCCAGGAACGACCGGGTTTCTGTCTTGACCCAGCGTTGGAGTCTCCAATATTATTCGTTACTTTAAAGGAACTACACGACTTCCAGGGCACAGAATTATGAAATTTGAATTTAACTATTGTTTATATAAGAAATAAGGAATATATTTTTTCAAAAAATTGAACTCGGTGACCTCTAGGAGGAGAAGAAAAGAGTCGGGAAGCGCTAAAAAAATTTCGTGTTTTTTTTCACATTAAATTAATCAGCAAATGTAGTTTTCAAATGGCACAAAGTTTCAAAAAAACTAAAAGAAGAAAAGTAAAACTTATTTTTGAAGTCGTCAAAATGATATTAAAATATAAAATTTACAATAAAGGGTTTTATCCAAAAGGTACCTACTTATATCTAATCAATAATATGAAAACTAAAAAAATATTTAAGAAAAAATTAAATAATTGTTTAACAACACGAGTTTATTTAAATATTAAAATTGCCAACAGTGCCAAACAAAACTAAAAAGCGGGAAAACAAACCATCGTAATGAAACAACAACGGTAAGTAGGTACATATATAAATAGATATCTGAGATCACCACTGGGTTGGTATTACTACGTTAATGTAAAAATGCAAAGTACAGATTAAAAAGAGATAAAATGAGTCACGTGGCGTTCGTTTCATGTCTTACTCATCATCGATATCTCGATTCAATTGTCTCCGCATTTCCCACTTTTCCGGCGCCAAAGGTGGGTAGATCGATACCCAGGTGGTATCTAACTAAGTACCGGCACGCGACCCTTCTCACCGTCAGACAAGGGGAAGTGGTTGATAGTTGCAGGTATTCTTGCACCAAAGGTCAAATAACAAAGATCATGGGGCGGGTACTCACCTGGAGGACGAGAGGTGCAATTCACGAAGCTTTAGAGCACTGCAGGCACCGTAAGAGGTGGTGAGGTGTGTAGGTAGGTTAGGAAAAACTGCCGTTAGACGCGTATGTCTTGGCATCCGCCGGACGACTGACTCCTGCACCCAACAAGAAGCCGCAGCAGCTACGGCAAAGCACCTCTCTAGGTCACCTCGATGGTAACATGGAACGGTATAGACCGCACCATTGTTCCTCCGGCGCGGCAGCGGTACGAACGATCTACGAAGCGGACACAGAAGAGCAAGGTCCAACGAGTACCGCGCCCTTTTCGCCTAATCTATTATTATTAACAGTATCCGCACATTTTGGTGTTTAACAGCAAAAAAAAAGCGACAAGACAGTGATGAAGTGTTTGTTGTGCCGTGCGCTGATTCAAAATTACATTTGCATATAAAGTACGAATCAAATTAAACAAAAAGAAACACAAAAAAAAAACCGTAGCCAGTGCTTGTAAAGGTTTATTGTTTATGATTTAATGGGTATAAGAATGTTATTGAAGTTGTCGGGACATTGGACAGGAAATAAGTCTTCCGTTGGTATTACCTATTGTTTCTGCCGTGTTTAGAGAGGCTATTTTGTACTAAAGGAATGCAATACTTGGAAAGGTTATATATTGACGTGCCATTAATTTTATAATTTAAAAAACTGTGTTTTTCAACTATTCAGTTATAATCGAAACGCATAAGTTACTAAAGTAAAAATTTCTAGGGGCGCCTGGGTTTCTGTCTTGACCCAGCGTTGGAGTCTCCAATGTTATTCGTTATTTTAAAGCAAATACACGACTTTCAGAGCACTGAATTTTGAAGTTTGATCTGAGAATTTGTTTATACAAGAAATAATAAATATATTTTTCCAAATAATTGACCTTGTGACCTTTAGCGAGAAAGGAATAACAGTAAGAAACTTAAAAGAAGATAATTTTAAAAAAATTTTGCACCCTAAGAATACACTGGCTTAAAAGATTATCTAATAACGTGCTCTTAAGTTTATAACTCAAGTAAAGAGTTACTTAGTTTATTTTATGGATTTAACAAATACGCCAAATAGAAAATATTACAAAAAAGGAGGTTATCAAAGCTTAAAAATTTCAAAATACTTTATTTTTCAACTATCCAATTATAATCAAAAGACAAAAGTATTGGAACACGTTTCAAAAGTAATGAGGCATCTGGGTTTCTGTCTTGACGTACCGTTGAAGTCTCCAATGTTATTTCTTATTTTAAGCAGAAATACGGCATCCAGGATGCAGAATTTGGAAAATTGAACTAAATATTCGATTATATAGGGATTAATACACATATTTTCCCAAAAAAATTTATTCTACGACCTTTAGAAACAGAAGAACAAGGGCGCGAAAACTACAAAACAAAAACATTAAAAAAGATTATTGTTCAGAAGGAAAGCAATAATTTGAAAGGTTATCTAATACCATACTATTTATAAGACAAATATGAAGTTAGGTATTTAATTTTTTGTAGAAATCATAAGAAGATGAAGATGATGCACTAATACCAAGGAACTTAATATAATTTGTAAAGACGATATTTCAAAGCAGTCGATTTTCATTTAAAAATACTACGACGTTTTTTCCAAACTTTTGCAATTTTATCTGCCATCGGAATCATTGGTCTTACTGTTTGTCTAGGAAAATGTACAGTGTTAACAGTGATCTTAGTAGGAACAAGTCACAACCATCTCAGCAGCATTATTGGAATAACTGTGCGGTATTTCAAAATATTTATAAAAAAAAATACAAAGTACGAGTAATAACTAATAGCCAAGAAGTAATTAAATATCAATTAAAAATTGAAATAACTCACCATCAGTAACAGCGTACTTCAATTACTGCAAGCATGAGTGTCAATTTTTACACCCTGATTACATAACTAAATATTCGATTTTTTTTAAGATTAAAGCCAATGTTTTACTTAATGTAAATTAATAATAGTGTACGTGCTATGTGATCCACTGAGATGTAAATTTTTATTGCTGTATACCACAGAATGTGAACACGTTCGCTTTTACATGTGACCAGCAAATCTTGTTAATTAGTGATAATTAGTTGTTAATTTATGATTATTAAGATATAGCACATCACTTAATAGGTAATCGTCTAGTAACCTGTCTAGACTTAAGTTTGTAGTACGTACAGGCCTGACGCTGGAAGCTGGCGGAAATTTTAAAATGGTGTGGATGCGCGGTGGCAAAAGTAGTCAGTTTTAGGTATAAAGATAACAGCCCTCATTCTTCAGTATTCCTATCAGGGGCGTGGATTAAATATTTAATAACAGGGATCAGTGAGCAACTAATAGACAGACAAACAGAAGAACTAATTGTTGATGTTGGTGACAGTGATAGAGATTCCCATGATGAGAGTGAATGTGAAAACTAACTATAAAACAAAAGCAATAGGTTAATTTTTTCTTTTTGATAAGTCATTTTCTAGTACGCTACTGTCCTATCTGTATTAATACTATAATTTACGCCTACTGAAAGCTTATTTGTGTATCGGTTCCAAGTGACTTACCCAAATAGGTCATAAATGGGCAAGTACCTGCGCGACCGCTCGCCAGCTTCCTTCGTCAGACCTGTACCTGTAGCGAATAATTGCAAGTTATACATAAGAAAACGTGCTGCGGTTTTGTTTTTTATTCGAAGTATCTATAAATTAGCCATAAGACTGCTCTAATCCAACTATTAGGAAAATTTACCATCACACTTATTTTTTTTATAAATTGCTGATTTATAAGAATGTTGCATGGAATATCGTTCATAAAACGATTTTTTTTCAAGCTTGAGTAATAAAGGCAGGTACTCCTATTCTATTTCCTTTTGGTAATGATGTAGGAAGTAGATACTGAATTTCCTTTCATCCCAAGAGAGTTTCCGAAGGTACCTCTAACGAATTCCATTTCAGGCTTTATTATTACGCCATTCAATTAGCATTTCATTTATCTTTTGTCAAATCTATCGGAAAAAGAAAAACAGTTCCCTTGAATTACAAAAAAAAAAAGACGTGAATAAGAATGGAATGACTTAATAGAATTTCGGGCAATTTCTGCGGTTTTAATACCCACGCCCAAGTATTTGTAATGGATCCTCTTATAAAAGTGTAGGAAATAAAAGAGAATGGAAAACGCTATTAAGTCTTGCTTCCTGCATATTTTTTTATTGCGACGTTTTTAGTTGTATTCGTATATAATAAGGTGTGGGTGTCAACCTTCATTTTTGATAATAAAACCAACGATCGGTGTATGCGATCTGAAACTAATCAATAAGGTCAAGGTTTATTATCTGTCTTCTCGGTACAATGTACGCATAATCTGCTGGTATTTATTTTGTAATTAATGTAATCATATGCTACATACAATCAAAACATGAAAATAGTTTTACCTGTTTTATCAGCCTGTCCTTCATATATTGATGAGAATTTAAGTAGCTTTGCTTCATTACTTTTTAGAAGTCAATAAGGAGATATTTTTTTCTTTTCTGGGCTGTTCGCCTTACAATGATAAAAATTAATATTGATGATGAGTCTAAGTTCTAAAAAATAGCAAAGAACTTGATTATGTTAAGCATAAAAATAACCAAAAGTTAGATTTAGAGCAAAGAAAAATATCGAGAAAGATACTGGGATTTCCAAAGAACAGAGGATAGATTGCTCAAAAAGAAAAATTGGAATTGTGTCAAAAAAAAATTGAAAACATCTCAAAAGAAATGGAAATTACTGATAGACAAGTGTACAGACATAAACCCAAGAACACCAGTAGCTTTTAAGCAAATACAAGATCCTGAACCCGAAACTACAGAGTGAAAAAATGAGAAAGTCCTGGGCCAGGATAAAAATCTAGACGTCGTCGCTGAAATCGAATCAGCATTGTTCTAATTAGAGTATATTTAGGGCTAATACACATACAGATTAGAATAACAATTGTTTTGTCTTTAAGATTAAATAAGGGTGATTTTCAATGGTAGCTACTTTTGATTGCAATTAGTACACTTCAAACTATATCAAATAAATATAACAGAATCTTTGTTGTTGTTGATAGATGTTTGAATATTTTGCATGGTGCTCATTCATAAATTCGTAAATTATATCCGGCATAATTAGCATAACAACGAGGATTATAAAAAAGCAAACTTTAAAGGTGCAGGTAACCGTCACACATCAAGTTTGACAGCAAGGTTTTGGCATGCCCTTGTAACAAATGTGTCGACAAAAATAAATGCTTATTAGCTGTCAGGATTTTTCACCTAATTAGCAGTAACTATTCGCATCGGAACATTTACGTTACAATCGGCGATAATTAGAGTCATATTGAATTTCTTTCAACCGAATTCTGTTAAACGAGGTTGGGAGAAAATTCCAAATGATTTGCTTTTATTGTAGCATTATTTCAATTCGGTTGCATAATCGTTGGTAAAAATCGTGCAAAACAAATTGGATTATAATGGAAATGCAAATGTTTACAACAATAATTACAATCATTATCAAAATGTGTTGCAATGTAGGTACGCACCAGAGGTTTGTGGTTGTTATTTATTTATGAAATCTTTCAATAAATAACACTTTTATTTCATTCCTTTTCACTTAGACTGGTAATTGTTAAAATAGAAATTATGAACTGATGTATAAACACTAAGTATCTAAATAAAACAGAAAATGGTTCTTTTGGAAACAGGTCACTTTTTTTACCTAGCTGGTTTATAATTCACTTAACCTTTTTTAAAGTTAACGACAAAATTCTCAGCGAAAATTAGGAAACATCAATTACTGATCAGATTGTCGAAGCCAATAATCACTTGACTCGAATTGTTTTCAATAAACTAGCTAATTAAGTATAATATTATACAGTCTCAGTTTAAATAATAATATAGTCTGTATATGTTTTACAGTTCGTTGAGGAGACTGAAGTGCCATGGATTCTTCCCTTTCTCAAACTAATATAGCGAAGGANGCCGTGCGCTGATTCAAAATTACATTTGCATATAAAGTACGAATCAAATTAAACAAAAAGAAACACAAAAAAAAAACCGTAGCCAGTGCTTGTAAAGGTTTATTGTTTATGATTTAATGGGTATAAGAATGTTATTGAAGTTGTCGGGACATTGGACAGGAAATAAGTCTTCCGTTGGTATTACCT